ATATATGTATATATGTATATTTATATATATACATATATGTAAAAATATATGTATATGTACATATATGTGTATATATATGCATACATATATATATATATATATATATATATATATATATATATATATATATATATATTATATATATATTATATATATATTATTGTTATCATTATATATATATATATATATATATATATATATATATATATATATATATGTATATATATGTATGTATATATATATATATATATATATATATATATATATATATATATATATATATATATATACATATATGTATGTATTTATAAATCTGTATGTGTGTGTGTGTGTGTGTGTGTATGTGTGTGTGTGTGTGTGTGTGTGTGTGTGTGTGTAAACGGAGAGAGGGATGGGGCGGGAAGCGATATATATGTACATGTATATAATATATATATATATATATATATATATATATATATATATATATATATATATATATATATATATATATATATATACATGAAAAGGGAAAGGGTTGAATGATAGTAAAATATAAAGGGCACCTCGTCTATGTTTATTTTCTATTTATTTCTCTGTCTGTCTGTCTGTCTCTCTCTCTCTCTCTCTCTCTCTCTCTCTCTCTCTCTCTCTCTCTCTCTCTCTCTCTCTCTCTCTCTCTCTCTCTCTCTCTCTCTCACTCTCTTTCTTTCGCTTTCTTTCTCTCACTCGTGCCATATATTCTGCTTTACAGAAGCCCTCTGACATTTTCATTAAATTTCAGTGGTCTTCGTCCAGGTCCCCCTTGTTTTATGAAGGGAAACGAGCCGCGGGTTTGCATACAAATTCCCGTTTTCATTCAGACTCAGAAAACGAGATGATTCATGGGGGTACTTTAGGAAAACCTTCAATACCTTGTGAATTTTTATATATATTTATTTTTTTCTCTCTCTCTCAAATGATTCCCATCTATACTAATGCAATCATCTTCTCATGCATTTGTATTATGATGAATTGGGTGTTGATCTGTGGATTGCAGAATGGCTCGTGTTCATTCATGCTGATTTCCAAATGTGAAAATTCATGATTTGTGATTCAAGATGGCGAGAGAGCGAAGAGCAAATACAGCCGAATAATTTCAGCTAACATAGGTTGTCGCTAAGTCTGCATAATGATGAGGTTCCTCTTCCTGAGACTTCTAGTACTACCCCCCCCCTCTCTCTCTCTTTCTTTCTCCTCTCTCTCTCTCTCTCACCCCTCTCTCTCTCTCTCTCTCTCTCTCTCTCTCTCTCTCTCTCTCTCTCTCTCTCTCTCTCTCTCTCTCTCTCTCTCTCTCTCTCTCTCTTACACTTTATCCGTTAGATTATCATGGTTTATCTCTCTCTCTCTCTTTCATTATCACTAACATTATTATTATTATATTCATTGTTGATACCATCACTTATATCACTAAATATAACCAAAATATAAACAAATGGAAATGATGATAAATAAATAAATAATCAAAATCTTAAAAACGAATATCTTTTTTTTTATTAAATAACAAAGGAGAAAATGCAGCATGGAAAGGAGGGAGGGGGGTGAGGGGGGGCAAGGGGGGGGACGGAAAACGTAAAGCTTAAAAGAATTTACGATTTCTACCCCCCCCCCTCCTCCCCCTTTTCACGTGAATTTTCTCACAGGAGAGGAAGGAGAAGCTCGTGGAAAGTACCTTATCTTCTTATTATCTTTTTAAAACTAAATTCTTATTTTCTCCCCCTCTTTTTACGCGTTTTTATTCATTCATATATTTATTTACATATCCATTATTTATGTATTTAAGCGTTTTTATTTATATTTATCCCCCTCTTTTTAAGCGTTTTTTCTCAAGGAACGAAAATGAGGGAGGGTTTTATTATAAGGAAAATAGATCAGCGGGTAAATGGGCTGGAAACGGTTCTTGATGAGATAAAATTGTCCGATGTGATCGCCACGAGAGAGAGAGAGAGAGAGAGAGAGAGAGAGACAGAGAGGGAGAGAGAGAGAGAGGGAGAGAGAGAGAGAGAGAGAGAGAGAGAGAGACAGAGAGGGAGAGAGAGAGAGAGAGAGAGAGAGAGAGAGAGAGAGAGAGAGAGGGAGAGAGAGAGAGAGAGAGAGAGAGAGAGAGAGAGAGAGAGAGAGAGAGAGAGAGAAGAGAGAGAGAGAGAGAGAGAGAGAGAGAGAGAGAGAGAGAGAGAGAGAGAGAGAGAGAAAGAGAGAGAGAGAGAGAGAGAGAGAGAGAGAGAGAGAGAGAGGGGGGGGGGGAGAGAGAGAGAGAGAAAAGGAAAGAAAGAGAAGTAGATAGAGACAGATAGATAGAGATAGAGAGAGAGAGAGAGCGAGAGAGAGAGAGAGATAGAGATAGAGATAGAGAGAGAGAGAGAGAGGAGAGAGAGAGAGAGAGGGAGGGGGGGGGAAGGTACTAGAAGTCCCAAAAGGAAAAAAAAAAACTTCATTCACTTAATATAAGAAAACAAATATTAGAATACTGCAATTACAAGGGATGCTGTTGGTCATTGATCGGCAAAACAATTTAATAAAAAAAAATAAATAAATAATAACATAGTAAAGGATTTTTCGTGCGTAATTAACACATACTCACGTTTTCACTTTTTGACTTCACATTCATGTATGTATATTTTCATATATGTGCGTGTATGTGTTTGTATATCAAACGATATTTTGTTTAATCTACTTTATACTCCCATGCACACACACAAGTGTTTGTATATGTGTCTTTGTATGTGTGTGTGTACATACTCTGAATACCTACTCTCTAATTCTCTCTTTCTCTCTCTCTCTCTCTCTCTGTCTCTCTCTCTCTCTCTCTCTCTCTCTCTCTCTCTCTCTCTCTCTCTCTCTCTCTCTCTCTCTCTCTCTCTCTCGCTCTCTCTCTCTCTCTCTCTCTCTCTCTCTCTCTCTCTCTCTTCTCTCTCTCTCTCTCTCTCTCTCTCTCTCTCTCTTACACTTTATCCGTTAGATTATCATGGTTTATCTCTCTCTCTCTCTTTCATTATCACTAACATTATTATTATTATATTCATTGTTTGATACCATCACTTATATCACTAAGTATAACCAAAATATAAACAAATGGAAATGAAAATAAGTAAATAAATAAATAAAACCTTAAAAACGAATATCTTTTTATTATTAAATAACACAGGAGAAAATGCAGCATGGGAAGGAGGGAGGGGGGGGGGGGCAAGGGGGGGGACGGAAAACGTAAAGCTTAAAAGAATTTACGATTCCTGCCCCCCCCCCTCCCCCTTTTCACGTGAATTTTCTCACAGGAGAGGAAGGAGAAGCTCGTGGAAAGTACCTTATCTTCTTATTATCTTTTTAAACTAAATCCTTATTTTCTCCCCCCTCTTTTTACGCGTTTTTATTCATTCATATATCTATTTACATATTTATTATTTATGTATCTAAGCGTTTTTACTTTTATTTATCCCCCTCTTTTTAAGCGTTTTTTCTCAAGGAACGAAAATGAGGGAAGGTTTTATTATAAGGAAAATAGATCAGCGGGTAAATGGGCTGGAAACGGTTCTTGATGAGATAAAATTGTCCGATGTGATCGCCACGAGAGAGAGAGAGAGAGAGAGAGAGAGAGAGACAGAGAGGGAGAGAGAGAGAGAGGGAGAGAGAGAGAGAGAGAGAGAGAGAGAGAGACAGAGAGGGAGAGAGAGAGAGAGAGAGAGAGAGAGAGAGAGAGAGAGAGAGGGAGAGAGAGAGAGAGAGAGAGAGAGAGAGAGAGAGAGAGAGAGAGAGAGAGAGAGAGAGAGAGAGAGAGAGAGAGAGAGAGAGAGAGAGAGAGAGAGAGAGAGAGAGAGAGAGAGAGAGAGAGAGAGAGAGAGAGAGAGAGAGAGGGGGGGGGGGGGGAGAGAGAGAGAGAGAAAAGGAAAGAAAGAGAAGTAGATAGAGACAGATAGATAGAGATAGAGAGAGAGAGAGAGCGAGAGAGAGAGAGAGATAGAGATAGAGATAGAGAGAGAGAGAGAGAGAGAGAGAGAGAGAGGGAGGGGGGGGGAAGGTACTAGAAGTCCCAAAAGGAAAAAAAAAACTTCATTCACTTAATATAAGAAAACAAATATTAGAATACTGCAATTACAAGGGATGCTGTTGGTCATTGATCGGCAAAACAATTTAATAAAAAAAAATAATAATAACATAGTAAAGGATTTTTCGTGCGTAATTAACACATACTCACGTTTTCACTTTTGACTTCACATTCATGTATGTATATTTTCATATATGTGCGTGTATGTGTTTGTATATCAAACGATATTTTGTTTAATCTACTTTATACTCCCATGCACACACACAAGTGTTTGTATATGTGTCTTTGTATGTGTGTGTGTACATACTCTGAATACCTACTCTCTAATTCTCTCTTTCTCTCTCTCTCTCTCTCTCTGTCTCTCTCTCTCTCTCTCTCTCTCTTCTCTCTCTCTCTCTCTCTCTCTCTCTCTCTCTCTCTCTCTCTCTCTCTCTCTCTCTCTCTCTCTCACTCTCTCTCTCTCTTCTCTCTCTCTCTCTCTCTCTCTTTCTGTCTAACCTGCTTTATCAAACACCCTTATCAATCAAACACCTTTATCAAACACCCTTATCCATCTAACACCCTTATCAAACACCCTTATCAAACACCCTTATCAAACACCCTTATCAATCAAACACCCTTATCCATCAAACACCCTTATCAAACAACCTTATCCATCTAACACCCTTATCAATCAAACACCCTTATCAAACACCCTTATCAAACACCCTTATCCACCTAACACCCTTATCAATCAAACACCCTTATCCATCTAACACCCTTATCAATCAAACACCCTTATCCATCTAACACCCTTATCAATCTAACACCCTTATCAAACACCCTTATCAATCAAACACCCTTATCAATCTAACACCCTTATCAATCAAACACCCTTATCAATCTAACACCCTAATAACACCCTAATAACACCCTTATCTAACACTCTCTCCTTCTATTCCAGGCTTCCTCCGCCTCCCACGCCCTGAAGACTTTGATCAGCGTGTCAACGGTCATCTTGCTGGGGCTTATTTGTGCCTACCATGCGCTCGAGGTTCAG